TTTGAATAAGTCCCTTAAGGATGAAAAAATCAGCTAGAGTAAGGTAGAGTAGCTAGTAAAAAGAAAAAGAAAAGGAATTCGTGATCAATTTAGGAAGTCATCACTTACTTACTCAAGCGTTGTTTGGCCAAACATGGTGCACAACTAGGCTAAATCCTACATTAAGGCATGCTTCGTTGCACAGGCAATGCGGCTAAATGTCCCCAGGCCAGATCAGATTTATTCAATGAAGTATATTTTTTTTTGTGATCTTTTTTTTGGCAAATGTGCTACCAAGCTATACATGCACGAGCTTGCGTATCCACCGGTGTTGTTTAATGATGCGATACTAGGCCCCCCCCCAACGGTAGTGCATGCATAACAAGCTAGCACGGAGACAAGTCCATGTTCAACCTTGGCTATCACTGTCAGACCTCAACTAAATCAATCAAAAACCCTTCAAAGACAGAACCTCTAGAAGAACTACTTTACCAGTTCTAGCTAAATATTATCATCCTTAAGATTTTACTCAGAAACTTAGCATGGAGAGATAAGAAGATGGATAGAAGATAGAAGGCAGATCCTTATTGAGAGTAATAGTGCATGAATGTTACTTAGACCAAAAATTGATTATGTTACTAACCAAGAGCGAAAAATTATTAAATAAGGAGCATTCTACTTGATTAAACAATTAAAGATTGAACAACTAATATAATTGGATGCTTAAACAAATTCTTCTAAGTTAAGAACTTAGACTATTGTTGTGAGAAATTTAATTAAAACTCCTGAAATTTTGAGCCAATAAGAAGCATTAACATAAACCAGGCAGCTCTAGAATGTACAAAAAAAATTCAATCTTCACACGATTCCCTCTCCTGATCTAGTTTTATTCCTCTTAAATGGTGCAAACACTTTATTTTAAAAGTGGTCAGGTATGAAGAGTCCAAAAATTCTTCTCTCTTTTAAAAAATCTGTTTTTTTCTTAAAAACTGCAAATGTGTCTTTTTTCTTCAAAAAAGAAACTGCAGTTTTTTCCAGAAACAACAAAAATGCAGCTGTGCAAGGCCTGGTATAAGGAAAGTTAAAGATGCAGAAGTGTTTTCTTTAAGGTCTGAAAATCAGATTTATAACTCCTGGTGCCAAATATGTTCTTATAAAACTATACCCTTCCTTATCATTTAGAATGAAATCAACTGCAGCTTGTTTAAAAACAAATCAGTGCTTTTTTTCAAATTAAAGTGCAGATTTTTTAGTTAGAAAAAAAAACTAAAGGTTTCATGGATCCAAGTGCTAAGAAACAGCTGCACACCCCCACACTTAGGCTATGCACTGTCCTCAGGGCATGTTATGCTAATTGAATGAATGAAAGCTTAAAAATGATCCTAAACTAAATGCAAAGAGTATGCAAGGAAAATAAAAGAAAGAAAACTTAAATGTAACTAAAATGCCTGTTTTTTTGTTTTTGTGCTGGGTTGCCTCCCAGAAAGCTGCCCTGTTTAGTAGTCCCAGCTAGACTTTACTGCCTCGTTTCATGGCTCCTCGAGGAAGATGTCCTCGACCTTAGCAACATGTTCACCTTGGTGATACACCTTCAATCTATGACCATTAACTTTAAAAATCTTATTAGTAATGAAATCTCTAATTACCACAGCACCATGAAGGGAAGTTTCTAACACTTCAAAGGGTCCAAGCCATCTAGACCTTAACTTTCCCGGAAACAAATGCAATTTAGAGTTATACAAAAGCACTTTATCACCTATGTCAAAGTGTTTCCTAGTGAGTTTTGCATCATGAAAGGCCTTTGCTTTACCCTTATAAATTACCGAGTTGTCATAAGCTTCAAGTCTTATTTCTTCTAACACTGAAAGTTGCAGTTTTCTCTCTTTTCCAGCTGCATCATAGTCTAAATTAACTTCCCTAACAGCCCAATAAGACCTATGTTCAATTTCAACTGGTAAATGACAAGCTTTTCCAAAAACCAGCCTATAAGGTGACATGCCTATTGGTGTTTTATAAGTTGTCCTATATGCCCACAAAGCCTCATCTAACCTTAAACTCCAATCCTTCCTATCAGGTTTAACGACTTTTTCCAAAATGTGCTTAATTTCCCTATTAGATATTTCGGCTTGACCATTAGTTTGAGGGTGATAAGCTGTGGAGATTCTCTGGGTTGTGTGGTATTTTGAAAACAGTATCTCCAAGGTTTTATTGCAAAAGTGTGTTCCTCTATCACTTATAAAAAATTTAGGCACTCCGTACCTATTTATGATCAGAGATTGGGCATGTTTAGCTACTTTCTTAGCATTATCAAACTTTGTAGGAACAGCTTCAACCCATTTTGAAAGATAATCCACAAAAAGCAATATGTAATTAAAGCCAAAAGAAGAAGGAAAAGGCCCCATGAAATCCATTCCCCAAACATCAAACAATTCACAGACATAGATATTATTCAAAGGCATTTGGGACCTACTGGACAGATTTCCAGTTTTTTGACATCTTGAACAATTTTTGCAGAATTCATAAGCATCTTTATAAATAGTAGGCCAATAAAAACCAGCTTCTAGGACCTTATGAGCAGTTATTCTAGGGCCAAAATGACCACCACTCTCTAATGTATGGCAAAAACTTAATATGGAAGTAATTTCACAATCCCCCATGCACCTCCTAATAATCTGGTCAGAACACATCTTCCACAAATACGGGTCATCCCAAATATAAAACCTAGCTTGGGATTGAATTTGATCTCTTAAGTGCCTAGGCTTGCTGGGTGGGAACGTGTGGGTTACCATGTAGTTGACCAAATCAGAAAACCAAGGAACAAATGAGGCAAAAAACAGATTTTCATCAGGGAAGGTTCCGGTGAATGGATTTAAGTTCTCTTTATCATGTTTTATCCTACTTAAGTGGTCAGCCACTTGGTTTAATCTTCCTGCCCTATCTTTTATTTCATAAGTAAACTCCTCCAGTAAAAGCACCCATCTTACCAACCTCTGCCTAGAATCTTTCTTACTAAGTATTTAAGGGCAGCATGGTCAGTGTAAATTGTTACTTTGACTCCCAGTAAGTACATTTTAAACTTTTCTAAGCCATATACCACAGCATACATCTCTTTTTCAGTTGTTGAATAGTTTATTTGAGCAGAATCAAGAGTGCAACTAGCGTAGTATATAACATGGGACTGATTTCCTGATTTTTGTCCTAAAACAACCCCCACAGCCCTATCACTAGCATCACACATCAATTCAAAAGGCAGTTTCCAGTTGGGTGGTTGAACAATAGGTGCTGAAATCAGTTTTTCTTTTAAAACATCAAAAGCCAGCTTAGATTTGTCATAAA